GTCGTTGCCCTGCTGCCCGTACCAGTCTGCATTATGGGCAGTTGCGCCACCAGCGTCTGCATTATGGGCGTTTTGAGAAGGCTGGTTCATGGTCGGGTTCCCGTGGAATACGATGTTCGGCTGCCATGGCTGCAAGCCATTGTCTATGAACGGATGGGATGGGATAGGATAGTATACGATAGGAGGAAAAGAAACCTGATATTTATGAAGACAAATAAAGGGTATGATGATATTGGACTAAAAACAAGATCCCAAGAAAAATGAAAGATCCAAAACCATGATCCTGGGGGCGACGACAATGGTGGTAAACCAATGGTAAACTATGGAAGTCCCTGATGTTTGAAATACAGATTAAGTTTGAGCGTGAGTGGCCTGATAATGTCTTCATAAAAGTAGCTTTCTTCCCGACCAGCGGGCCTTTGTTTTTAGACGACACTCGCTTTCCAGACGCGCTTTTTTCCTTAGCAGCCGAACCTTTTTCTCCGGACACTCGTTTTTTTCCGGGTACCTCTGTCTTTCCCGCCGATCCCTTCTTGCCAGAGGAGCCCTTCTTTTGTTTCGAAAGCCTCCGTGGTGTCGATGCTGCAGCCTCCGCATCGTTCCTTTTAGAAGAAGCACAAGATGCTAGCATGAAAGATGTCCTCCTCTATTCTTGTAGTTATATTCATTTTTATTACTGGTGCACACTTTGAATTGGCAAAACCAAATCACTACATAAGTACCCTGTAGTTAACCTTTCGTAACCTGAGCAGGGGCGGCGCCATTTAAAGGTCATTGAAACGTTAGGTGCTTAGCTCTATCACTGAAACGTCGAAGAACTTTTGCTCTATCACTCTAGAAGTGCGAAGACATGTTAGGTCCCTTATCCTTACTGACAATATCAAGACTCTTCTTCCTCGAGGAAGATCCTAGGAGATTGTAAGAACATAGTATCATGAGTGCAACGATGGACTAAGATTTCATCCTTAACATTTCCAGCGATATTGGACGGGACGTACGCTCCCTGCTCCTGCGTAACTACTCCGGCAATATTGGACGGGACGTACGCTCCCTGCTCCTGCGTAACTACTCCGGCAATATTGGACGGTATGTACGCTCCCTGCTCCTGCGCAACTACTCCGGCAATATTGGACGGTATGTACGCTCCCTGTTCGTGTGTTGCAGGAGTCGCTGCTTCTTAGACCGCCCTACCCAAAATTCTTACCTAGAGAGTCCTATCTTTGACACGTCAGTATCCTTATCCCCTCTCCAAAAAAAAATTCCCCCTCTCATCCTCACGGGAGTCATCCTACAGTTCACCCTCTCCTCTAGAAAGAAGTCACCTCCATAGGCTTGTTCTATTTGTAATATGAATCATTTGTTGTACCTACAGTAACGAGCCATAATCTCTCGCGCGCTGTTGAGAAGTAGCTGCGGTCTGTTGTCCTTGTTCTTGCGGAGCAGGTGGCATACCCATCGTTCCAGCGACGTTTGACGACGTTCGACGATGCGAAGTCCCCTGCCCAGGTGGCATACCCATCGTTCCAGCGACGTTTGACGACGTTCGACGATGCGAAGTCNGACGTACGCTCCCTGCTCCTGCGTAACTACTCCGGCAATATTGGACGGGACGTACGCTCCCTGCTCCTGCGTAACTACTCCGGCAATATTGGACGGTATGTACGCTCCCTGCTCCTGCGCAACTACTCCGGCAATATTGGACGGTATGTACGCTCCCTGTTCGTGTGTTGCAGGAGTCGCTGCTTCTTAGACCGCCCTACCCAAAATTCTTACCTAGAGAGTCCTATCTTTGACACGTCAGTATCCTTATCCCCTCTCCAAAAAAAAATTCCCCCTCTCATCCTCACGGGAGTCATCCTACAGTTCACCCTCTCCTCTAGAAAGAAGTCACCTCCATAGGCTTGTTCTATTTGTAATATGAATCATTTGTTGTACCTACAGTAACGAGCCATAATCTCTCGCGCGCTGTTGAGAAGTAGCTGCGGTCTGTTGTCCTTGTTCTTGCGGAGCAGGTGGCATACCCATCGTTCCAGCGACGTTTGACGACGTTCGACGATGCGAAGTCCCCTGCCCAGGTGGCATACCCATCGTTCCAGCGACGTTTGACGACGTTCGACGATGCGAAGTCGCCTGCCCCTGGTCCTGCTGCCAAGTCGCCTGCTTTCCAAAGATTAGGGGTAGTTGCAACTTCACCTGGAACTGAGTCGAGCGTATCCTCTATAATAAATAGTAAAGTACTTGTTCATAGGAGGTCTATGCTCAACATAGATGCGGCGCGTTCTCGAAAAGGAAAAGCGCGCGCGCGCGCCACCACAGACCAGACCACAGGGGGGGAGGGGGGGCCGTCCGGCCCTGAATCATATATACTACTCAAAGAGTACTGAAAGAGGTCAACTACTTCCAAGAGCCCTTAGAAACGAAGGAATGCCTTAGCTGTGGGGAAGAAGGCTCCAATTGCTTTTGCAGCTCGTAGTTCCGTTTATTTTCCTCCATCCGGTGAGCTTCTGTCAACTTTTGCTCGAGTAATCTAGTTAGAGATCCCTTGGAACAAACGTCTCTTTCACTCTCAGGATGTCTGTTTTCCCTTTGAAAATGTCCCTCCCAGTATGACTTTCTCTCTCAAAATCAGAGATCATTAGGGGACGCCTTAACCTGTCTAACAAGTCAGGTTGCCTGTCTCGCCTGTCCGTTTGCGACTGCTGCTGAGTGTTTTCGTACTCATCCTGTCCCCCTCTGCACGTACACCAGCATGCTAGTATCATTACGAGAAAGCCGACGAGGATCATGAAAGAAAGATGGCATTCAAACTAAAGTTGATTGATTTTTCAATTTTTGGAAAATTCAAGTCTTCCTAAATCGCGTGTATCGAGAAAACTCGCGGCTATGCAAGTAGTCCTCTCGCAGGCTAGGCGGGAATTGTAGACCGAGGTCACAAAAAAAGGTCATTCTCTTAATCACCACGACTTGAAGGAATGAATGAATTTCAGACTATTAACATATACAACTCTAAGCTTTCTTAATCACTGCCGCTTACGGTAGCTTATTATACAAGTAACTATACTAGTAAAGGTAACTTAAATTATACATTTAAGTAAAAACAATCTTAACAGTTGTAGTTAACTTTTATCATAGAAACTAGACTAGTAACAGTAAACTACTTCGCACGTCGAATGTGATTGCAATATGCAGTCCACCTCGTCTTAAACACCACAGACACAGCTATACCCCAGAGCTGAACAGGTTCGATACTCTGATCTTCTTCATCATCTGTAACGTCGGGGAGCTGCGCTCGAGCACGTTGTTAGAGTCAGCCTGAACTCATCATCCCGGTCCCCTCACCTCGTCGACCCCTTTCCCATATAAAATACAAGGGAAACGGGTAGCGAGATGCAGAGAAAGATGGAGAAAAGCTGGCCGTAACGTTGACGAGGCTGCACTGGCTTCCCAGTTCTCCTCTGCGCTGCGCGAGCCGCACGGACGACAGATTAGTAGAGTCTAGTTAATATTATGATGCCCTGTGTTGTTTGGAGTTGTCAAAATTCATACCTTCGGATCTAGCGATATCATGTTGTTTTTGGAGATGTTGGAGACGGTTCGTATATTGTTGCTGTACCTATTTTGTCTCAGAAGATGTTGAAAAAATTTGTCTTCTATAAAGTAGAAGATGACGCAGTAAAAATCATGCCAACATTTTGTCCACCATGATTGAAAACCACTAAAGGCCAAAGCCCTCATCTAGTACGAAGACCACTGTGATGACGATCCCTGCTATCACTAGCGATATCATGTCATCATCGATGCGTCTCAGCTGATCCTACAAAAGTACAAAAGATATCTGATCTCATGTCTTTTGAGGTTAGGTTAGGTTGGGGTCTACCATCCGATGTGGCAGACTTAGCCGATGTCTGATCTCATTTGTTTTGAGTCAAAAGGCGCTCAAAGAAATATAGATTCAATTTCCAACATAAGCTGCCTTCGATGCGGGTGTCGTTTCGGCTCCAGCAGATTCGTCTGCTACGTCCCGCAGCGTTTCACCTGGATATTCGTTTTCAGTACCTCCCTCACGGTTTGGCGCATCGGCAGCTGCAGTCCCATCACCTGCAGTCCCATCACCTGCAGCCCCATCACCTGCAGTCCCATCACCTGCAGTCCCATCACCTGCAGTCCCATCACCTGCAGTCCCATCACCTGCAGTCCCATCACCTGCAGTCCCATCACCTGCAGTCCCATCACCTGCAGTCCCATCATCTGCAGTCCCATCACCTGAAGTCCCAGCATCTGCATCTGCAGCTGCAGCCGCTGCATCCGCAGCATCCCCACGCAAGTTGAGACTTAGAATATCAAATGTAAAAGGTATCGAACAATAAAAATTGCATACAAAAGATACTTCATCGATTAAAAAAATAAAGAAGGTATCGAAAAAGAGATTTCATTCGACTTTCATTGAACCTTCAGAAAGGCTAACAACTACGGAGGGAAATGACGAAAGTATTATTGATCCGAGCATTCAAATCATGGCATGCTCGACTTCAGGTCAAAACAGTTACCAGATTACACTTGTACGTAAGACCAGCATTCAAATACAATACCTATGCTATCCCTATTTTTTCTGTACCTAGACGCTTGTCGTGTGGGCATGAATTTAAGCACTTTGGAATACAAGGAACAACCATTAGTGTTTTGTTTTTTATATACGTGAACCTCCCTTTGGAATACAAATTAAAAGAGTTATAATGGTCAAAAGATTTCGGAGAGGTTTTTCGAGGGATTATCGGGGGGAGAAGGGGGGG